AAGTTAATAATCCCATCCCAGAATCGCTATAATTAAATAGTATTAGCTTATATCACATAGGTTATATGTCAGTATTATATTGCCTCTTTTCTTCTCAGTATCTTCCAATAAAAAACTCTATTGATTTTCTATGTCTGTTTAGTGGGTCCATGTGGAAATCTGATGCCCACTTTTACTCATGAATGTGTCCTTAAACAGGGTCCTCATTTCTTCAGTTCACATCACAAAACTGGTTTTACTATTAAACATGTAAAGAAATGTATAGTATATAAAACAGTATGTCAAATATAATAGTATGTCAAATTATATACCATCAAATGGGCTTTGCTACTTATTCATACTTGCAAAAGGTGGAACTGTCCAATTTTTGGCATCCTCACTTGGATTTGATGTCTCATTACAGCCTGGCAATCAAATACACAACCAATTATTCATGATTAGAGGAAACAAAAGTAAAAGTCTGGAAATCAGTCATTGAAAATCCCATATTGATTGACCACTACGCTGTGTGGAGGACCTGCCTCATGTCTGTGGTGGCTCTGCTAATAATCCCTGAGCAAAAGCATTATGGTAACTTTTTATTTTAAGGTGTTGTCATTACCGTGTAATTACACAAATAAGTACTGAGTAAAATTAATTAACAACATACACTTACGATTAGCTGCGTGTAATTATGCATAATGCACTGTTGTTTCTATAGTAAGCATGTAACAATGACACTAAAATATAGTGTCACCAAGTAGCAAACTAAGGATTTATATAAAACATACCTTCAAAAACAAAAACGGCACACTCTTCACACAGCCTATGTCAAAAACGTTGGTATTTAGGCTACAAAGTGAATTGACATCTTGTGTCTCCTCTTTGTTGTTTACTACTAGCAGTATGTCTTATGTAGGAATAAAGTATAATGTTTAATATGTTTATAGAATCTATATAATGTGGTCTGGGCCTATATGATAGGAACTGGCACTTAAAGAGGTCTATGAATGTAAGCAAAACATCTCTAGCAAGCGAAATGTCAACTGCCTCATCTTAAATGCAGCGACCTCGAAATATCCATACAAATCTGCAGCCGGCTGAACCGGTGTTAGTCGACCGTCGTTTAATAGCCGATAAATCAGATTGTTTAGCTACTAACTAGCTTAAAATTGTCCAAGAATGCAACATTTTGCACCCATCACATGAGGCTGCGATGGCACTATCAGGCAGATTGAGGCCCGTTCTTCTGGCACGACCATCTGAGCTGTTATTCCTTGTCGTCTGCACACAATGTATCATATTAAACGGGCTGTAGGCGGCTACAGATCCCCGCTCACTACTATACGCCCTAAATGATTCAGCACTCCTCCGTCAGTCACAATGCACATTTACCTCTCGGGCTCAGGTCCTGCAGGTACGGCGGAGCGGTGGGCGTGACATTCCCCGAGTTCGGTGCTGACAACAGCGGGGATCGTTCATCCATACCATCGGAGGCCATTATATCAGCAGGTCAGCACGGAAAAACAAACAGCAGCAGCGGCAGCGGCGAATGGTGGTGGGCTCCGACCGCTGCTCTGGAGAGGGGCACTGAGACTCTGAGCTCCAGGCAGGGCAGTGGAGAGGCGGAGTCAAAGACGTAAGCGGGAGGATGAGAAATCACTGCTGGAGCGGATGGGATCTCCCTCCCTTCTGCAGCTGTTGCCTGATAGTCTTTCCCGCAGGCATGTGCACACATAGACATCAAAAGGGCTTGAGCACCTGCCCTTTTTCTTCCCCAAGAGAAAGTGCCCTTTTTTCTGGGGAGATTTTTTTTTAAATAAATGAATATTTGTATATATGTGTGCATGTGCGTGTTTCTGTTTACGCACAGCTTTCCCTGTCAAAATGTCAGGTCGGGTCGGGAAATGTTGAGACTTTCTCCCCTCCTCGTCTCCGCGCAGCACAGCAGTGTAGCACACATTGATCTGCACATGCACATCACTGACAGACAGAGAGCCGCAGAAGTGAAGCCCTCCCTCCCTTTCCAGCTGTGTTTGTCTTGGTGTGGAGGTGAGTGGTGATGAACAACAGACTAAGCTACCTGTGCCTCGAATTTACAGCTTGTTATCCAAAAGACAAAAGGCAAATATGGTTAATTTGTCTTGCTAACATCCATGACTCATAAGAGAGCTACAGCAATAGGAAGTCTAGTATTTAGACCAGTGCGTGTTTCACTGCATGATTCCGTTTATTAAAATTCATTTAGAATGATCACAAAATCCAAGATATGGGGGCAGAAATGTATATATTTTTATCATTTCATATACACTGACACTTACTTTCAGAAATAAAATATGTTTTGACTGTTTTTGCTCTATTTCGCCAACAAATATAATTCCAATTTGCATCTCTGAGCAACATGACTCTGTTTTGAATCAACTGTTTAAATGATTCGGTTCAATCGCAATGGCTCACTTATTAAAGGGGTCATATGATGCGATTTAAAATTTTCCTTTCTCTTTGGAGTGTTACAAGCTCTTGGTGCATAAAGAAGATCTGTAAAGTTGCACAGACTAAAGTCTCAAATCCAAAGAGATATTCTTTATCAAAGTTCAGAGTCAGCCACACCTACCTAAAACGGCTCGTTCTAACACGCCCCCACATATCTACCTCACTATGTGGGAAGATTTGCATAGCTGGCCAATCACAGCACACCTCGCTTTTTCAGAGCGATGAGCTTTGTAAAAATCGACGCGTTTCAGAAAGGCGGGGCATAGAGGAGAAACAATAATGTACAGTATGTGTAAAATAATGTGTTTTTTTAACTTTAAAACCGCATAAACACATTTCATTACACTAAATACACAAAATAATGTTCTTTTTAGCAACATCATATGACCCCTTTAACAGTGACTTGCTGCCACCGACTGATAGTTTTAATTTCACATTTAAAATCTTTTTTTTTTTAAATTTCAAATATCAGTAGGCCTATTCAACGTTTTATGTTTAAAATATCAAAACAGTATTAATGCATTTGTAACTGCAGGTTAAATGCATTCATGTCCTGCATTAAACAGTGTGTAAATGCATCTAAATGCCCCTTCTAATGCAGCTTCTGTGTTTTCTCTACATTGCAAAGATTAATTTTGTCAATACTGATTTCATTTGCTTGGTAACAACCCAAATTACTTAATATTCTAATTGACTGATTCAATTTAAGAATTTGACTGAAAAGATGATGCACACTTTTAGAAAAAAGGGCTTAAAAATTTTAAAAATGCCCATAAAAGGTAAAAAAAATAAATTTAAACTTATTGGAAAAGATACATTTCTATCACTGCTGTGAACGGATCACCACACAGAATATGAAGAATATCAAAAACTTTAGGAGTCAGCTGTCCACTGTAGTCCTTAAGGTACCAGCACAATAACGCACTCAGCAAAATACCGTCTAATTATCGTTATTGATAAAATCCCAGAAAATATTGAGATATTTTTTTTGTCAATATCACACAGCCCTAACATATTGAACGTTTTGTTTCGAAAAAAATTCAAATAATTATGAGAAGTGCCCTTTTTTCCACTCGAGTCCCTGCCCCTCAAAATGTCCGTGCACGTACCTGCTTTCCCGAGTTTATTCATTTGACCTTGTAAAGGTGTATTTGCTCATCACGAAGAAAATGTTTAGGTTCTGTCCTGAAGCCCACTCCTTCATCGGTCATACTGGACGATAGTGCGAGAAGGAAAATTATTTGTACAGCCATTGCAGAAAATGTTCGTGTTCAGAATTTACAGAGCTGGGGCCAGTTGTATAAACACAGCCACTAAGACTGTGTCTTAAGAACTAGTTTGACCAACTAGCAGTTTACCAAGTGATAATTAGTCTTACTTTTCGGAATCAAATTAGACCGATCTACCTTTTTATGTAACTGACTTTACAAATTTATGACCAGTCTCGAAGAAACATAAATAAATGAATAAATGAAAGAATGAAAGAAGAAATGAATAATGAATGAATGAATGAATTTTAAGACTAGTCTAAGTAGTTTAGGCAACTGGCACCAGATTCTATAATTCTGTAATTCTCCAATTCTTATCATTTAATATTTAATTTCATATATCCAAGCACAAAACTAAAAGAACAAAACTGGACACCTATAGGTAATTTAAGTGTCTGAAAAGTACTATAAAAATAATAATACAAAAAAAGATCAGAACATAATACAACGAAACATCAAATTTGATTAATATGTCCAAAAAATAAAAATAAAATAAAGAAATTGATATAGCCTACTTGTTTTAACTTTGTCGTTTTCTATTTTTAATGCCATTTTTATCATTCTTTGCCAATAATTTGATCTCATCCTAACAATATTTTGTTTACTCTTATTTGTAAAAGATATTGTAATTTTATACTACATGCATATCATTTTAAGACAAATTACCGCATGCTATGTTACCTAGCCTATCTTTTTAAGTGTTTTAAAATTTGTATGTAAAGGTATTAAAACCTGTATGTGCCCATGTATAATGTGTTTCCCATACATAAGGGGACTTCAAACTTATTTAGGCCAAGTACATTGTGTTGAATACACACACACACACACAAAATGACTGCGTTCTGCATGTCCTATGATAATGCCTACATGTAGGCTATAAGTGTTTACATACGTTATTATAGTTTTGTCTATTTGCAAAGTAATTATTTGGAAAGTTTTTTTTCATTGCAAGCATTAGACACCAGAGTCATATTTGTTTTACATTACTACATGTTTTATTTAATTTTAACGGGAAGAGTCAATTAAACATAGCTGCTTTGTTGGGGGGGGGGCTTATTGTTTAACGCATTTCTTTTCGTATGACTGGTCTTATCACAGTCCTGTTGGTCCTACAATCCATCTAAGGCGAAGGATTTGTTCATTTATTCTATTCATTTTTATTACATTACTCGTCGTTCGTCCAGTGGGCCTTGCTGACTTACTGAAAGATGTGGGTTACAGTCTGATGGCGTATTAATAATTAATATGCATGAGCTTTGGCCTTCGCTGTAGTATTCTGTGTCCCGTCTGAGAAAAACGACGCACTGCGCATGTCAGTGCAAAAGATAAACGACGACTGCATGACCACCGAAGCGCTCACGTATTGATTCATTCAGGTAAGAAAAGAATCGTTTACATAAATATTAATATTTGGTATGAGGCAAACCCATTTTAATCTTAGGCATTGCATTTATGAACTGGTTCCGACTCCGAGCAGAAAAGCCTGCTACGACTTTACCTTAGCTTTGTTTTTAGCCAACCGGTTATTAGCGATGCTCGCGTGCGAGCTCATGTGTCCAGGTCTACCAATGGCCTTCTCTATCATTTTTTTTTTTACCCTCGGACTTTCTTCTGAAACATAAACACGAGACATGACTTTAGGTCCATCAGCTTTCATAATGCCAAACGTGATGATTATTTTGGATACCGATGTCCTGCTGACACCGTGTTTATCTTCTTCTTTAGTTATATTGTCTCTTAGCCATGTATTCTATATATAATATAAGATATATATATAAGATGCAATTACCCGTGCAACGGTATGTGTTGCTAGGTTTCACATCTTTTCCCCCCTAAGGAATCTGAGGTCGTGACTATATGTCTCCTCTGCACTCTGGATTGAAGATTCTAGTTTATTCAGTTCCTCGTTAAAGGCCCTGTTTGATTTAAATGTTCTAGCCCATTTGATTCTCTATTAAATATCATATACTATTCGGTTTTAATGTAAGGTTCTGTCCTATTTATTTCTCTGCTAATCTATTCTGTTTCTGTATGAACATTTTTACTCCATTCGATTACTTGTTGAAGGTTCATTTGGATTCTATCCAGTTCTCCGTTGGATTTCTGTTGTATTCGATTCTTTATTGAAGATTCTGTGGTGTTTGATTCTCTGCTAAAGATTCTGTTGTAATAGATTCTCTTTTAAATATTCTCTTCTAAGTTCCCCGTTTAAGATTCTATTTATTCCTCTGTTCTAATAGTCTTTTAAAGATTTCATTCTGCTTGAGTATTTATTCAATGTTCTGTTTTATTCTGTTTAGCTTAGCACTTCGTTAAGGTTTTAATTGCATTTGATTATCAAAGATATTGTAGTGTATTTGATTCTGTATTAAATACTCTGTTCCATTCCTTTTTTCTATTCAAGATTGTGTTATATTTGATATATCTCTGTTAATTATTTGATTCTGTATCAACAATTCTGTTTTATTCGTTTCTCTGTTAGATATTCTGTTCTGATTCAAGATCCCATTTAGTTTGATTCTCTATTAGATATTCTGGTCTATTTGGTTCTCAGTTAAAGATCCTATTATGTTTGATTACTGAGCGAAGGTTGTATTTTAATCTCTTCACTTCTCTGTAGATGTTTCTCTTGTATTTGATTATCAGAGAGGTGGTATTCTATTTGATTCTTCTTTAAAAGTTCTGTTCTGTTTTTTTCCTAAAGATTCTGATTCTCTATTCACTATTTCATTATATTATGTGCTCTGTTAAATATTCTGTTTTATTTCTACTAAAATTCTGTTCTATTCTTTATTATATATTCTGTTCTAAATAGTTTTGGTGGTATGTATATGCACAGTATTTTAGGCATTCTGCTTTTATAGTACAATTTGCATTTTTTACCCATACAGTATTAAAACTTTGCTCTTATCACCAGGTGTAAAAAATGGGGAAGGCTCTGTCCCACCTGCCGAAGCATACCTGTCATGATGAGTGTAAGGACAGCCTGACCTCATCGCCCGGGTACAGCGCCATGCAGACCGATGATGGTAAGAACGAGGGAGATGTGTCTCAGTTCCCATACGTGGAGTTCACTGGCCGAGACAGCGTCACATGCCCCACATGCCAAGGCACTGGAAGGATCCCGCGAGGTACATTTCTAAACTCCATTTAAAACACTTCGTTAATTGAAATGTTTTAAAATAACCTGATCTGAAATGTCATCTCTCACTAAAAATGCACACCATGTAACACACTGTGACATGTTTATGCAGGCCAAGAAAATCAGCTGGTGGCCCTGATCCCGTACAGCGACCAGAGGCTGAGACCAAGGAGAACGTAAGACACCTTGAAAGATTTTTATCCTGATGCGTTCTGTTAAACCAGTTAGTATCAATCCTTTTGTGAAACTATTAAAGAGCTTGCATTTACAGAATACTGATTGGGCTCTCTGACTAAATCCATGTTATATATATCCTACAGCAAGCTGTATGTGACTGCTTCAGTCATTGTGTGCCTGCTGCTCTCCAGCCTGGCTGTGTTCTTCCTTTTCCCACGTTCCATTGATGTCAACTATGTGGGAGTGAAGTCTGTCTACGTGTCCTATGACCAGAGCAAACGCATTGTGTATCTCAATGTCACTGTAAGTTATCACTGAACACACATGACACAAGTGTTTTTAATAATGTTACAGCGTATCTGCTTCTGAAGAATATTTAAGAGATCCCAATTCTGTTGTTATTTAAGGCTGGAATACACTATACTGAACAGATTTTAAAATACTAGACATCATACATTTGCCAGCTTTTAAAATGGTTATAGAGGGGGAAAACTGGAAATCAAACACTAAAAACGAGTGAGGATCACACACTAACACTTTCAGGTCATTCTCAATACAAGAAGCTCATGCAGAAACATGTGCCTTATGCCCGGTTTCAGACTACACGATTTTAGCCTGATTTTGCCATGATTTGCTTGACGTGGGGATTCGTAAACGACAATGGGTGTTGGAACGCAGGATTCCATCGTTTCAGCACGTGAAGTGTGTCATAGTGGACGACAACCGATTCCGCGTCTGCGATGCATCACGACAGAAAGACTAGCATGTTTAATTTTTTTTTCCGTCGTCCACGACGAGTTCTGTCACGTTGACCAATAGCAGCACAGAAGCTCTTTCATACACGGGTTTCAAACATGGCAAAACGAAAGAGAGATGATGGTGCTGCTAGGTGGAGTTATGAGATGGAGGAAAGGTTCGTGGAGCTGTGGTAACAGTACTTTTGCCTGTATGATGTGTCATCGAGGGACTACCACGACAGAACAAAGAAAGAAAAATGCTGGCGAACTATAGCGGAAGCGCTTCAGCAATGTTTACGCTCTTGTTTTCGGAAGTCAGTCGCTAGTTCCACCTTCTCGATGACATCATGCGCGTTGCTAAAGACGGCACGCGATGAATGGTCGGGAAGCAACGTGTAGTCTGACATGTTTCTTGTCCACGACACGACAAGATTTTAGGAGTCAAAATCGTGTAATCTGACACTGTCTGTCGTGACCGACAAAAATATTGTGTAGTCTGAACCCGGCATTAGATGAAACCAGACGCATGACAAATATGTGTTCTAAAATCGGCTCAAAATATAAAATGTTTTTCAGAGTCTGTGCCCATTGTACACAACACAATTTTCAATGAAATCTGTGAAGTCCGACTGTCCAAAATTTGCAGACAATTGTAGAAAATTTTGGCAACTAGTGTCAACTCCTTCAGACTGTAAAACGGGGCAAAAATCTGTGCAAAAGTCCTGTAGTTTATTCTGAAAATTTGTCTTTTTTTCTTTTAAAGAACTCACTGAATATTACTAACAACAACTATTACTCAGTGGACGTGGCCAACATCACAGCCCAAGTGCAGTTTTCCAAGACTGTGATTGGAAAAACCCGCATTAGCAACATAACCACTATTGGCCCTCTGGATATGAAGCAGGTAGAGCTTTATTTGAAATGGCGGTTTAAAAATAGGTATGTTTCGGCATATATATAAACATTGATCATTCTTTTGTAATACTTCTGTTTTCTTGTCAGATTGACTACATGGTGCCCACTACTATTGCAGATGAAATGAGCTATATGTAGTAAGTTTACACACTTTTCATGCATAAAAACATAAGGCGTAGTAAATATATATTTTTTCCTGGCAGACTTTTTCAACTTCCTTTGTTTTCCAGTGACTACTGTACCCTGCAGAGCATCAAGGTGCACAACATTGTGGTTATGATGCAGTAAGTATTGTGCAAAACATTGCAAGCTACAGGTTTGTTAATAAATGTTTTATGGTTTTGTTAAAGCCATCAGCCCCATGTATGCATGTACAGTAATCATGTTTAACAGTAAAATTCCTAGTGGGAAACTAGGAATGTTGTTACGCATGATTCTGCAGAGAAATCTCTTTCATGGCGAATGATGTAATAGAGTCGCTCTCAAACAACATAGATATTTGTGTGTGTGTGCGTATATATATGTATATATATATACATACAGGTGCATCACAATAAATTAGAATGTCGTGGAAATGTTCATTTATTTCAGTAATTCAACTCAAATTGTGAAACTCGTGTATTAAATAAATTCAGTGCACACAGACTGAAGTAGTTTAAGTCTTTGGTTCTTTTAATTGTGATGATTTTGGCTCACATTTAACAAAAACCCACCAATTCACTGTCTCAACAAATTAGAGTACTTCATAAGACCAATAAAAAAACATTTTTAGTGTATTGTTGGCCTTCTGGAAAGTAAGTTGAATACTCAATACTTGGTAGGGGCTCCTTTTGCTTTAATTACTGCCTTAATTCGGCAAAACATCAGGTTAATGTGCTTGGCTTACTTGTTACTAACTTTGCTTGTTGGTTTGCAGGATAACCGTCACTACTGTGTACTTTGGCCATGCTGAGCAGGTGTCTCAGGAGATGTACCAGTATGTGGATTGCGGAGAAAACACTACTGCTCTGCATGAATACAGTCTGAATACTCCTCTGGCAGGCTAGAGCTGAGCCTGATAGCGTAACCTGTCACCCTGTCCCTCACCGCTCACTCCATGTGTCATTGTTTTGGCAAAACTGCTTGAGTGTTTACTGCACTTCTGCCAGTTAACCACTAGATGTCAGGCAATTCACAAATGATGCACTTTATTGTCCATGTTCTCCAAGCAATATGAACAATGCGAGATCTCGGAAGTTCTCATTCCAGTTCACTTTGCCAAACTGAATTGTTCACTACAAATTCATTTTTGACAAAGTTCCATTGTTTTCAAGCACTACATATAGTATTTAAAACCTTTCTAAAGTGGAGTAATGATGTATTTGACGACCAACTGTGCTTTGGGTTATTATATTTATTTCTATAATTTTGAACCTAATATTAATTTCAGTTTCAGTGACGGGATCTATCTTTGTTTTGGCAAAACTGCTTGAGTGTTTACTGCACTTCTGCCAGTTAATCACTAGATGTCAGGCAATTCACAAATGATGCACTTTATTGTCCATGTTCTCCAAGCAATATGAACAATGCGAGATCTCGGAAGTTCTCATTCCAGTTCACTTTGCCAAACTGAATTGTTCACTACAAATTCATTTTTGACAAAGTTCTATTGTTTTCAAGCACTACATATAGTATTTAAAACCTTTCTAAAGTGGAGTAATGATGTATTTGACGACCAACTGTGCTTTGGGTTATTATATTTATTTCTATAATTTTGAACCTAATATTAATTTCAGTTTCAGTGACGGGATCTATCTTAACCCAAACACCAGGAGTTTATTGCAATGGAAATATTACCTGATGTTACCTGAATTCCTGTTAATACCTTATTCCACAGATTTGCTTCAGACTCAGAAGCAGTATTACACGATGCTTTCTTATGAGGGGCATATTTAAGATTGTTCAGCTACTATGTGTGTTTCATACAAAAGGATCATGTGACACAGGAGGGAATGTCAGTGTAGATAGTGCACAAGTTGGGAAAAGTAAAATGCTTCAATCTATTTATTTTGTAATGCAAAGTTTCTCATTGTTACAGTTTATAATCTGTTTATCTCTCCACGAGGAATTGCCTCCAAATGCAAACTGATAACGCACTAATTACGTAGAACAACAATCACTGGGATCTGAGAGCATCTGACTGCTTGCATGATGGAAGATAGTATGAGATGATCTTTCCCTCAGATTCCCTCATGTTCAGAATTTAAATGCATTTCACAGAAATTTAGAAGTTTGCTTATTAAAACTAGATGTGACGTTTTGATTGAAAGAACTTTGATAACATTTTTAACATTTCTCAAAATGGAACTTTACATTTTTAAACATTTTAATCATGTTGTAAAACAGCTTCACAGATTATTTTTGCTTAAAGGTGGTCTATTTCCTCTGAAATAGAAGTGGCTGCTAACATGATGTGGCATTTATGCAGTTCATAACAACCGCTGGCTTGATGTACATGTACATGCTTATATGTAACACTTGTGATTTTTGAGAAAAGTGGTTTGGACTGCTTTAGAGATACACTGAAATAACATGATGCTGACTGGTTTCCATTAAATAAACCTGTTTTGAGTCATTTGTCCATGGTTTATTTAAAAAAAATTTTTTTACTAAATGTGAGAAAAAGGCTTACGAATTCAAGAAATGTATTTTAGAATGTGTAAAGGTATTTTCTTTATTTAATTTATTATAATATCGCCCTGATGAAACACTCAGTTAACATTCAGTTATCAAACATTAATATTTTTATATAAAAGCACACTCTGTGCGCAGCATTAAATTTCATTTGTTGCATGAATAAACGCAAATACATACTTTTTTTATTACCTTATTGGACCAATTTAATTAATTTTTTACTAGGTCTAAGAAGACTTAAGTAAACTATTTAACAGAGGAAACAACCTGAAACTTTAAAGGGATAGTTCACCCAAAAATGAGAATTATGTTATTAATTACCTACCCTCATGTTGTTTCAAACCCGTAAGACCTACCTTCATCGGGACACAAATTATATTTTTGTTGAAATCCAAGAGCTTTCTGACTTTCATAGACAGCAAGAGAACTACCACATTCAAGGCACAGAAACCTAGTAAGGACTTCGTTAAAATAGTCCATGTCATGTGACATCAGTGGTTCAATAAAGCTACGAGAATACGTTTTGTGTGCAATAAAAAAAAAATAATAATAATTCATACCATGACTTGTGTGCATTCCTCTGCTCGTAAACAAGGCGCAGCATAGAATACCTTGACACATGCATCGTGGAACTCTCGATAATGGTGGCGGACTGTCCCGGAAGAGAAGAAATTATTGAATAAAGCCATTATTTTTGTTTTCTTTGCGCACAAAAAGTATTCTCGTACCTTCATAAAATAACGGTTAAACCACTGATGTCACATGGACTAGTTTAACAAAGTCCTTTCTGGGTTTTGACCATGGTAGGACCCTTGCAGTCTATGCAGGGTCAGAAAGCTCTTGGATTTCATGAAAAATATCTTAATTTGTGTTCTAAAGATGAACGGAGGTCTTACGGGTTTGGAACGATATGTGGGTGTTTTGAATTAATGACAGAATTTTCATTTTTGGGTGAACTATCCTTTTAATGCTTGTTGAAAAACATGAAATGCGACATCATGTGCGATGCAAACCTGAACCTTGAGTCTCTTGCTAAAGCACTTTTCAAACAAAAAAAAACACCTTTAAAAGTCAATTTCTTAACATATTTAACACCACCATTTTACAATAATTCTATAAACATATGTATTTAAAATACATGCACTTATTCTATAGACTTGTTCTGCACTTCATTTCTCTCTATAAAAGTATTTGATTGATTGTGAAAGACTGGAAACCTGTCTCTACTCAGCAATTAATGTTAGAGCAACATATGTAATTGAAGTGCGCAAATAACTCCACGTAATTGCTTCAATATGACAACAATAAAGTAATCATGTACAATTGGGTATTGTAACCCACTGTCTAATTAGTGTTATTTCATAACCCCAACACTTACCGTAACCATTACTTAGAGTTTACACAATGGCAGTTCAAACAGGGAGCACGCTTTTATTAGCTAGCCTTGCAGCAAAGCCATGTATCAAGGGCATAGCCAAATTACACAATAGTTGTCATTGGGAGAGAACTGCCAATAAGAGACGTAATTCATGTAAAGTTACTCGCTATAATTATGTCGCAATTGCTCGTCTCTTTAAATAGAGTTTTTTCAAAACTTTGTTTATAGGCACTGGTAAACTTTTACAGAGATTCACCAGTGTATCTACATTCGCTAGATGCAAATGCGAACATAAAGAAGAAGAACAGGCCTTCATAACCATAACCTGAAAGTGAGGCATATTATTTCTTTATTTGATCACAGATGACTTGTAACGGTGTCTGTTTTGCCACAAGAGGGAGTTATGAGTATCCTCCCAGGACACTTGAGTGATAGTTTTCATTATGTGAGGATTTGCATAAGGCACTGCTGAGTTTATTGCACATGATCAGATTTTCAGCGGCGGAACGAAGCTTTGCTTTATCATTCACAGATCCACAGAGACCCAGATCTGTCCAAAGCACAGATCCCTCAAATAATGGTTGTCATGGAGACAGAACTTCAAGTGAGGAGACAACTGAACTCTAAGGGGCAATTATGCCACACCAGAGTACTGTATACACATAATTATCATAACCATAACTATATGCATTATATGAGCGAGCCTGAGATTTTGTGTAATCACTTATTGTCTTGTCTGTGCAATGCTATATGTAATAATTTTCACTCACGTAAACCTGGTAACTTTGCCTATATTCATGCAAGGACACCAGAAAAGGGAGACATTTCCTTGTAAATGCATGCATAACCAGAAGTATTTCTTCTTTTTGCAATAAACATGAAAATATTTTCTGTGGTACTCAACAACATGCCACAGATACTATTGTTCAAAATTCCTTTGAACACAGATTGTTTATTGGTCTCACTTTCAGTTAAAATGACACTTGATGCTCAGTGACAATAGATTCTATTGTTTCTGTAAAGATCGACCAGTGAAATATTTAAACACATCTACTTCTTTATGACTGATTTTCACATTTTAAAATAAAAGTAACCTCATTAAAATGATCATATATGACCATATATATATATATATATATATATATATATATATATATATATATATATATATATATATATATATATATATATATATATATATATATATATATATATATATATATATATATATATATATATGAATGATGACAATTATATATGTATGAGCTTCTAAAACTAAAACCATAAAAATCGAAATAAAAATAAACTTGAAATAATATAAATGTTAACTGAAATAAAATATACATTTAACGTATTTCTATTATAATGTATTTATATCAGTATCTAAGTGATCCTAAAATAACATCAGTCTAGATCCAAATTCTGTCTGAATATAGAATATAGATAATAAATAAACAAACAAACAAACTTACATTTTAAAGAGATGACTATGGGCTATTTCTCTGCAAAAGCTATATACATAACCTTTGCAAAGAAATAGGCACAGTTACCTTTTAAAAATATTTATAAACAGCCCATTTATCCATTTATCATAAATAATTGTCATTTGGAACATTTTTTAAATATTTTTTGCACTTCTGTTTGGAATGATCATATAGCATGAAAGTGCTGAACCCTGGTTTGTAGGGTTCTTAGAGGCACATGCATCTCTGATTGAACTTAAGTGTGTGATACAAGGACATATATAACGTATAAAAACTTGTTGCTATCAGTTTCTTACTGCACTTTGTGCAATGCTGCAAAAGGAAAAAATGTTTGTGTGTGCAGAAGCAAAAGCTGACTGTTTTGTTTGTTGCTATAAGTGTGAATGCAACTGTGTCCCTGCCAAAAGAGAGAACCTGGTCCTCTACCAGAGGCAAATTTGGTCTTATCAACACAATAACCAGAATGTCAGAAATCTTTGGTGCATGATGCAATGCAATGTATAGTGCAAATGACTCCGGTTTCCCGTAAATTACCCATAAATAGTTTTATGGGTAATGCACAGATAATGTGGCCATGTGACATATCTGTTTGATGGAAGAGCTGATAAATTGTACGGAAAAGCGGAAACAGAAAACAACACTCTTTGAGTCATTCTATATCCGGTTATACACACAACAACAAAAGATGCAACTTTAAATTAAAATGGTTAGACATTTAGATATAATTTTTAGAATCTTATATTTAAATGTTAAATAGCATGGTTTGCACCATATAAAAGTGCTTAGTAGATCAGGAACAGTGGAATGGCGTTCCTGAGCACAATCCCCTCAATCCCAGTGGAAAGGTTTCCTTGGACAGAGTGTCACATCAGAAACTCCACTCACTAATACGGATCTACAGATTTGAAAT